GTATTTGTGTTTGAGGTGTATTTGTGTGTGTGTGAGAGGTATTTGTGTGTGTGAGGGGTATTTGTGCGTTTGTGTGTGAGAGGTATTTGTGTGTGAGAGGTATTTGTGTTTGAGGGGTATTTGTGTGTGTGAGAGAGGTATTTGTGTGTGTGAGGGGTATTTGTGCGTGTGGGTGTGAGAGGTATTTGTGTGTGTGAGGGGTATTTGTGCATGTGTAAAAGGGTATTTGTGTTTGTGGGATATTTGTGCGTGTGTGAGGGGTATTTGTGCGTGTGTGAGAGGTATTTGTGTTTGTGTGAGGGGTATTTGTGCATGTGTGAGAGGTATTTGTGCGTGTGTGACGGGTATTAGGGGTATTTGTGTGTGTGTGTGTGTGAGAGGTATTTGTGTGTGTGTGAGGGATATTTGTGTGTGTGTGAGAGAGGTATTTGTGTGTGTGTGAGGGGTATTTGTGCGTGTGAGAGAGGTATTTGTGTTTGAGGGGTATTTGTGCGTGTGAGAGAGGTATTTGTGTTTGAGGGGTATTTGTGCGTGTGAGAGAGGTATTTGTGTTTGAGGGGTATTTGTGCGTGTGAGAGAGGTATTTGTGTTTGAGGGGTATTTGTGCGTGTGAGAGAGGTATTTGTGTTTGAGGGGTATTTGTGCGTGTGAGAGAGGTATTTGTGTTTGAGGGGTATTTGTGCGTGTGAGAGAGGTATTTGTGTTTGAGGGGTATTTGTGCGTGTGAGAGAGGTATTTGTGTTTGAGGGGTATTTGTGCGTGTGAGAGAGGTATTTGTGTTTGAGGGGTATTTGTGCGTGTGAGAGAGGTATTTGTGTTTGAGGGGTATTTGTGCGTGTGAGAGAGGTATTTGTGTTTGAGGGGTATTTGTGCGTGTGAGAGAGGTATTTGTGTTTGAGGGGTATTTGTGCGTGTGAGAGAGGTATTTGTGTTTGAGGGGTATTTGTGCGTGTGAGAGAGGTATTTGTGTTTGAGGGGTATTTGTGCGTGTGAGAGAGGTATTTGTGTTTGAGGGGTATTTGTGCGTGTGAGAGAGGTATTTGTGTTTGAGGGGTATTTGTGCGTGTGAGAGAGGTATTTGTGTTTGAGGGGTATTTGTGCGTGTGAGAGAGGTATTTGTGTTTGAGGGGTATTTGTGCGTGTGAGAGAGGTATTTGTGTTTGAGGGGTATTTGTGCGTGTGAGAGAGGTATTTGTGTTTGAGGGGTATTTGTGCGTGTGAGAGAGGTATTTGTGTTTGAGGGGTATTTGTGCGTGTGAGAGAGGTATTTGTGTTTGAGGGGTATTTGTGCGTGTGAGAGAGGTATTTGTGTTTGAGGGGTATTTGTGCGTGTGAGAGAGGTATTTGTGTTTGAGGGGTATTTGTGCGTGTGTGAGGGGTATTTGTGCATGTGTGAGAGGTATTTGTGCGTGTGTGAGGGGTATTTGAATGTGTGTGAGTGGTATTTGAGTGTGTGTGAGGAGTATTTGTGCGTGTGTGAGGGGTATTTGTGCATGTGTGAGAGGTATTTGTGCGTGTGTGACGGGTATTTGAGTGTGTGAAAGGGGTATTTGTGCGTGTGAAAGGGGTATTTGTGCTTGAGAGGTATTTGTGCGTGTGAGAGAGGTATTTGTGTTTGAGGGGTATTTGTGCGTGTGAGAGAGGTATTTGTGTTTGTGGGATATTTGTGCGTGTGTGAGAGGTATTTGTGTTTGAGGGGTATTTGTGCGTGTGTGAGGGGTATTTGTGTGTGTGTGAGAGGTATTTGTGTTTGAGGGGTATTTGTGCGTGTGTGAGGGGTATTTGTGTGTGTGTGAGAGGTATTTGTGTTTGAGGGGTATTTGTGCGTGTGTGAGGGGTATTTGTGTGTGTGTGAGAGGTATTTGTGTTTGAGGGGTATTTGTGCGTGTGTGAGGGGTATTTGTGTGTGTGTGAGAGGTATTTGTGTTTGAGGGGTATTTGTGCGTGTGTGAGAGGTATTTGTGTGTGTGGGGTATTTGTGCGTGTGTGAGAGGTATTTGTGTTTGAGGGGTATTTGTGCGTGTGTGAGAGGTATTTGTGTTTGAGGGGTATTTGTGCGTGTGTGAGAGGTATTTGTGTTTGAGGGGTATTTGTGCGTGTGAGAGAGGTATTTGTGCGTGTGTGAGAGGTATTTGTGTTTGAGGGGTATTTGTGCGTGTGAGAGAGGTATTTGTGCGTGTGTGAGAGGTATTTGTGTTTGAGGGGTATTTGTGCGTGTGAGAGAGGTATTTGTGCGTGTGTGAGAGGTATTTGTGTTTGAGGGGTATTTGTGCGTGTGAGAGAGGTATTTGTGTTTGTGGGATATTTGTGCGTGTGTGAGAGGTATTTGTGTTTGAGGGGTATTTGTGCGTGTGTGAGAGGTATTTGTGTTTGAGGGGTATTTGTGCGTGTGTGAGAGGTATTTGTGTTTGAGGGGTATTTGTGCGTGTGTGAGAGGTATTTGTGTTTGAGGGGTATTTGTGCGTGTGTGAGAGGTATTTGTGTGTGTGAGAGGGGTATTTGTGTGTGTGTGAGAGGTATTTGTGTTTGAGGGGTATTTGTGCGTGTATGAGAGGTATTTGTGTGTGTGGGGGGGTATTTGTGTGTGTGTGCGGGGTATTTGTGCGTGTGTGTGTGGGGTATTTGTCTTTGAGGGGTATTAGTGTGTGTGTGAGGGGTATTTGTGTGTGTGAGAGGTATTTGTGTGTGAGAGAGGTATTTGTGTGTGTGCGTGTGAGGAGTATTTGTGTTTGAGGGGTATTTGTGCGTGTGTGAGAGGTATTTGTGTTTGAGGGGTATTTGTGCGTGTGTGAGAGGTATTTGTGTTTGAGGGGTATTTGTGCGTGTGTGAGAGGTATTTGTGTTTGAGGGGTATTTGTGCGTGTGTGAGAGGTATTTGTGTTTGAGGGGTATTTGTGCGTGTGTGAGAGGTATTTGTGTTTGAGGGGTATTTGTGCGTGTGTGAGAGGTATTTGTGTTTGAGGGGTATTTGTGCGTGTGTGAGAGGTATTTGTGTTTGAGGGGTATTTGTGCGTGTGTGAGAGGTATTTGTGTTTGAGGGGTATTTGTGCGTGTGTGAGAGGTATTTGTGTTTGAGGGGTATTTGTGCGTGTGTGAGAGGTATTTGTGTTTGAGGGGTATTTGTGCGTGTGTGAGAGGTATTTGTGTTTGAGGGGTATTTGTGCGTGTGTGAGAGGTATTTGTGTTTGAGGGGTATTTGTGCGTGTGTGAGAGGTATTTGTGTTTGAGGGGTATTTGTGCGTGTGTGAGAGGTATTTGTGTTTGAGGGGTATTTGTGCGTGTGTGAGAGGTATTTGTGTTTGAGGGGTATTTGTGCGTGTGTGAGAGGTATTTGTGTTTGAGGGGTATTTGTGCGTGTGTGAGAGGTATTTGTGTTTGAGGGGTATTTGTGCGTGTGTGAGAGGTATTTGTGTTTGAGGGGTATTTGTGCGTGTGTGAGAGGTATTTGTGTTTGAGGGGTATTTGTGCGTGTGTGAGAGGTATTTGTGTTTGAGGGGTATTTGTGCGTGTGTGAGAGGTATTTGTGTTTGAGGGGTATTTGTGCGTGTGTGAGAGGTATTTGTGTTTGAGGGGTATTTGTGCGTGTGTGAGAGGTATTTGTGTTTGAGGGGTATTTGTGCGTGTGTGAGAGGTATTTGTGTTTGAGGGGTATTTGTGCGTGTGTGAGAGGTATTTGTGTTTGAGGGGTATTTGTGCGTGTGTGAGAGGTATTTGTGTTTGAGGGGTATTTGTGCGTGTGTGAGAGGTATTTGTGTTTGAGGGGTATTTGTGCGTGTGTGAGAGGTATTTGTGTTTGAGGGGTATTTGTGCGTGTGTGAGAGGTATTTGTGTTTGAGGGGTATTTGTGCGTGTGTGAGAGGTATTTGTGTTTGAGGGGTATTTGTGCGTGTGTGAGAGGTATTTGTGTTTGAGGGGTATTTGTGCGTGTGTGAGAGGTATTTGTGTTTGAGGGGTATTTGTGCGTGTGTGAGAGGTATTTGTGTTTGAGGGGTATTTGTGCGTGTGTGAGAGGTATTTGTGTTTGAGGGGTATTTGTGCGTGTGTGAGAGGTATTTGTGTTTGAGGGGTATTTGTGCGTGTGTGAGAGGTATTTGTGTTTGAGGGGTATTTGTGCGTGTGTGAGAGGTATTTGTGTTTGAGGGGTATTTGTGCGTGTGTGAGAGGTATTTGTGTTTGAGGGGTATTTGTGCGTGTGTGAGAGGTATTTGTGTTTGAGGGGTATTTGTGCGTGTGTGAGAGGTATTTGTGTTTGAGGGGTATTTGTGCGTGTGTGAGAGGTATTTGTGTTTGAGGGGTATTTGTGCGTGTGTGAGAGGTATTTGTGTTTGAGGGGTATTTGTGCGTGTGTGAGAGGTATTTGTGTTTGAGGGGTATTTGTGCGTGTGTGAGAGGTATTTGTGTTTGAGGGGTATTTGTGCGTGTGTGAGAGGTATTTGTGTTTGAGGGGTATTTGTGCGTGTGTGAGAGGTATTTGTGTTTGAGGGGTATTTGTGCGTGTGTGAGAGGTATTTGTGTTTGAGGGGTATTTGTGCGTGTGTGAGAGGTATTTGTGTTTGAGGGGTATTTGTGCGTGTGTGAGAGGTATTTGTGTTTGAGGGGTATTTGTGCGTGTGTGAGAGGTATTTGTGTTTGAGGGGTATTTGTGCGTGTGTGAGAGGTATTTGTGTTTGAGGGGTATTTGTGCGTGTGTGAGAGGTATTTGTGTTTGAGGGGTATTTGTGCGTGTGTGAGAGGTATTTGTGTTTGAGGGGTATTTGTGCGTGTGTGAGAGGTATTTGTGTTTGAGGGGTATTTGTGCGTGTGTGAGAGGTATTTGTGTTTGAGGGGTATTTGTGCGTGTGTGAGAGGTATTTGTGTTTGAGGGGTATTTGTGCGTGTGTGAGAGGTATTTGTGTTTGAGGGGTATTTGTGCGTGTGTGAGAGGTATTTGTGTTTGAGGGGTATTTGTGCGTGTGTGAGAGGTATTTGTGTTTGAGGGGTATTTGTGCGTGTGTGAGAGGTATTTGTGTTTGAGGGGTATTTGTGCGTGTGTGAGAGGTATTTGTGTTTGAGGGGTATTTGTGCGTGTGTGAGAGGTATTTGTGTTTGAGGGGTATTTGTGCGTGTGTGAGAGGTATTTGTGTTTGAGGGGTATTTGTGCGTGTGTGAGAGGTATTTGTGTTTGAGGGGTATTTGTGCGTGTGTGAGAGGTATTTGTGTTTGAGGGGTATTTGTGCGTGTGTGAGAGGTATTTGTGTTTGAGGGGTATTTGTGCGTGTGTGAGAGGTATTTGTGTTTGAGGGGTATTTGTGCGTGTGTGAGAGGTATTTGTGTTTGAGGGGTATTTGTGCGTGTGTATTTGTGTTTGAGGGGTATTTGTGCGTGTGAGAGAGGTATTTGTGTTTGTGGGATATTTGTGCGTGTGTGAGAGGTATTTGTGTTTGAGGGGTATTTGTGCGTATGTGAGAGATATTTGTGTTTGAGGGGTATTTGTGCGTGTGTGCGAGAGGTATTTGTGTGCGTGAGGGGTATTTGTGTGTGTGTAAGAGGTATTTGTGTTTGAGGGGTATTAGTGCGTGTGTGAGGGGTATTTGTGTTTGTGAGGGGAATTTGTGTGTGTGAGAGGTATTTGTGTGTGTGAGAGGTATTTGTGTGTGTGTTTGTGTGTGTGTGTGTGAAAGGGGTATTTGTGTGTGTGTGAGAGGTATTTGTTTGTGTGTGTGTGAGGGGTATTTGTGTGTGTTTGAGGGGTATTTGTGTGTGTGTGTGAGAGGTATTGGTGTGTGTGTGTGTGTTAGAGGTATTTGCGTGTGTTTGAGGGGTATTTGTGTGTGTGAGGGGTATTTGTGTGTTTGAGGGGTATTTGTGCGTGTGTGAGGGGTATTTGTGTGTGTGTGTGTGTGTGTGAGGGGTATTTGTGCATGTTTTTTACCTGCGTGAGGGGTATTTGTGTGTGTTTTTACCTGTGTGAGGGGTGTTTGTGTGTGTGTGTGTGTGACAGGTATGTGTGTGTGTGACGGGTATCTGTGCGTGTGTGGGAGGTATTTGTGTTTGAGGGGTATTTGTGTGTGTGTGTGTGTGTGTTGTGTGTGTGTGAGAGGTATTTGTGTTTGAGGGGTATTTGTTTTTTACCCGTGTGAGGGGTATTTGTGTGTTTTTTTACCCGTGTGAGGGGTATTTGTGTGTTTTTTACCTGTGTTAGGGGTATTTGTGTGTGTTTTTACTCGTGTGAGGGGTATTTGTGTGTTTTTTACCTGTGTTAGGGGTATTTGTGTGTGTTTTTACTCGTGTGAGGGGTATTTGTGTGTGTTTTTTACCTGTGTGAGGGGTATTTCTCCCTGAGTGTGGAGATGATGAGCTCCTCCACCTGATGGTCTGCCTCCGTCACCAGGTCTGTCGGAGTACTCTTGCTGCTCACCTGCTTCTCCTGCTTCACCGCCGACTGAACCACCTGATGGAGAAAACACAGCCATGCTAACACATGGTAATACTATGGTATTTTCTGGTGCTAGTAGAGTGATACGGGGATTGTTTATATATATTAGGAACATTAAATATTACCATCACCGATACATCAATGTACCATAGTCCAATATCTAGTGTTGTTATTGTTAACTATTAAAAATCACTACCATTAAATGAAATAAAGCTGAAATAAAATCAAATATAAATATTAGATGATAATATTATACTTAAAAATAAATAAATAAATAAATAATTAAATAATGAAAATGATCAATTTTGCCTTAGCAGCTAACTAAAATAAAATCAGTTTAATCTGACATACTAAAATGACTAACACTACAATAAAAATAAATTAAAGCTGTTAAAAAAAGAACAAAAATGGCAAATAGACATACCAAAAATTATATAAAATATAAATACTAAATGAGATACCTAAACAATAACATTTAAAATTAGCAGCTAATTGAAATTTACTAAAACTAAAATAAAAATAAATTAAAGCTACATAGCAATATTAAAAAAACTAATAACGACAAAAAACACATAGCAAAATTACATAAAATATAAAAAGTATAAATAATAAAGACAAACATAATAAGTATAAAAAATAAACAAAAATGAAAAATCTTGCTTTAGCCACTGAAATAAAATAAGTTTGCTTTTTATTGCACTAACATTACCAAAACTAAAATACAAATAAATTGAAGCTATCTAGAAATTATTAAATAATAATAACAATAATAAAACAACATCACAAAATGACAAAATCTTAAACTAAAATTTAAATAAAAATGAAAAAAGCTCATTAAAAAAGTTAATGGAAAAATACAATAGCAGATAAACAGTACTAAAATAACACTGAACACAGTATTTTGTGTAAGCATTACTAGAAAAAGAACATGATGGAATTACTATAGTGCATGTCCAAACTATGATATTATCATATTATATTATTAGACATTGTATACATTTTATAAAGTGTGTTATTATTTAAAGAGTTGCATTAATAAAATCAATATAATAAACCAAAAAATAAATAAATAAATCATAATAAATAGTAAACAGTGCTAACAACACTTTAATAATAATAATAATAATATGCTTTGTCCTAATACGTTTCTACAAGCTACACTGTAGTCCATCCTGGGCCAGATATGTAGCATCGTCAGAGATACTTTACTACAGCGGCAACATGAAACCCTTATTAATATGACCGCGTTTAGACTATAATCGAGTAAATATCAGTGCGGACTCATATATAATAGATATGATAAATCATGCTGTCAGGATCGGTGTAGATTAACAGTCCGTCGACACGAAACAGCATCAAACTGCGCTCTGTGTTGATCGTGTGTTAGTTGACGCTACATCACATCCTGTCGTGTTCCAGCGTTAGTTTGTAGCGAACGAGCCGGTTAACGTGTCGCGGTGCGTTACCTGTCCGGCCCTGAGCGCGATCTGCACGGCCACATCCAAACAGTGGCTCCAGTCCTCCATCACGAACAGACGCGTCTCATCCTCTCCGGTAACGGGGCTCGGCTGACGTCCGGTTCCGTCCTGGCGGAGCGTGTTTACGGGCCGCGGCCTACAGCACACATAAATGACCTCTAATCGATCAAATCGATCACGGCGACCGGATCCGTGCCGCGGCGATCACCGGCAGCTGCTGAACTCAACACTGATAGTATGTGCTAATGATGCGGATGATAAGCCTGTTTAATACCGCTTATCTCATTGTTTACGTTTTTAAAGTTCTATAACATTTTAAAACACCTTTACCGATAGTTTAATATGTGTGTATATTAAAAAAAAGCGAAACAAAATAAATGTTTGCCGTTTAAAACAATTACATAGAGTCACCCAGCAGAGGGCGCCAAAACCAAGGCAATTTCTGCATTAGTGTCTACATGCTCGGACCGCTGCTTTCTTTAATGATATGAACGAAATTTATTGAGCTGCTGTGCTTAAAATTCAAAAGCAATTTTACACGCGTATATTTTCATAAAAATGCCTTAAAGACTAACATGGACAATTAGATGAATTGAGGACAAAAATAACAAATAAAAAAAAAGCTCCAATAATTATTTTAAAAATGTTACATAGTTGTTAAATGCTTAATTTACTGCCATCTTTTGGCTGTTCAAAGCACAACCTGATGATCAACATCGAGATTATAACAGTTGAACAGCATGCCACATTCGAGTTTTTATTTAGATTCTTAAGTATTAATAATAATAACAACAATAAAGACAGAGAGCAACAGTCGAGACAAACTTTTATTTACAGCATCAAGACAGCCACTTTGAAATTTGTTGCCATTAAAAATATTCTTTATAGTGACAAATCAATTTACAGTTATAACTCTAACATGAGTTCCACACACAGAAAGACACACGTTCTTCATATATATATATATATATATATATGAGTGTAAATGGGAGTGTTATTGCTGTGGAATCTTTACCGGGAATGACAGCTCAACATACACATGGCTTTTTTAAACAAGACATGGAAATACTCTTAAAATAAAACTGGATTAATTTACATTTAATTCTGCTTGCCTTCATGTCGCAGAAAAACCAACAACATTCATTTTGTACAAACATGGCAAAAGAAGAAAAGCAACGATCACAAGCTTGACCCTTATCAAATATTTAAGCATGGCACCAGAAAAAATATCGAAAGAGAAAAATGAGTGAGAGAACCACAGCAAGGCTTCAGTAACTTAACCATGAAAACACAAAGCAGCACAAACAGAAATAACACAAACAATGTGAAATGCAACAAAACCTGTTTGGCTTACAAGTTCAAATCATAAGGAGAGGAGAGAGAAGAGAAGGGCATTAGTGTGTGGATCAGTAGATGAACTCTCCAGGAACCTCCTGCAGCGCAGAGAAGGGCTCCTCAAACTTGAAGCGTTTGGAGATGGCCTTCTGATCCGGGGTCAGGCTCTCTTTATCAGACAACTGGCGGCACTGGCCGAGGGTGTAGGAGGCCATCACGATCAGCTCCTCCGTCACCGGAGCGCTCTCCTCCTCTGCTTCTTCATCAGGGCTGACGGGCTCCGAGTCGTCCTTCACCTCGGGCTCCTCCGTCCGAAGCCACTGGTGTCTGAGACAGTCTTCTGCGGTGGCTCGGCTCCTGAGGAAACCAAATCCACATCAGAACCGTCTAAAGCTGGGCCTTTTGATTTTTAATATTAATGTAATCTTGAAGGGATCGTTCATCCAAAAATGAAAATTCTGTTATCATTTACTCGCCCTCAAGTTTCTTCAGTTGAGCACAAAAGATGATATGTTGAAGAATGTTGGGAACCAAACGGTTGACGGTAGCCATTGACTTCCATAGTATGCAAAAAAATAAAAAATGCTATAGATGGGTACCGTCAACTGTTTGGTTTCCAACATTCTTTAAAATATCTTCTTTTGTGATCAGCAGAAAAAAAACCTTACAGGTTTGGAACAACATGAGGACGAGTAACTCTTTAAATTTTGGGTGAACTACCCCTTTAAGAGAAAACCTGCCAATTATTTAAGAAATATTCTAGGTGTTTATTCATTTTTTTCCCCCTTCATCTATTTTTTTTTAATGTTTTTTCGAAAACTGTTTGAACTTGTGATCAGTGTAAATGTTTTTTATTTTTTTTAATTGTGTGTGTGTGTGTGTGTTTGTGTGTGTGTGAGAGAGAGAGAGAGAGAGAGAGAGAGAGAGAGA